CACAGAATTTCCACAGTCACTTTAAACTTAACAACCTTTATAACACACACTATAAATCACAGTGATTCACACACTTACGGTGCCTACTGTTTGCTTGACTCAATTATCTCTATCTTCAATCTATCTGCCTCTCTATTTTTTATTTGCTGGGCTTATATACTAAAAAAAAAAGAGGGGGTCCCGAACAAACTAGGAAATTCATGACCATTCGAGAAACTCCTCGCACATGCCACCAGCGCCAATGGGCCAGCAGTGTCACATGACTTCCACTGTCGTAACAGTATTGTAAAGTTCTGATGACCTATTGAGGAGAAATCTAAAATACCATTTCAATGAACAATCTGTAAGGTAGGACTATTTTTGATAGAAGCTGATTTTTTACAAGGTGTAGTACATATAGGTAAAGTCAGTTATATAGTTTTAGAAAGCATTAAGAGTATATGTTTATGTTTTGCATGTGTTTTCTTTTGCAGGAAGATACAAGTATAAAACAGCACTGAGGGACTTGTTACACAAACTAAAGTTTAGTGGAGTGTGCACAGAATTATGTGGAAGCTAGTTAGTTTGAAAGATGAAGGTTTGTAAAAGACTAAAGTGAATTTGGGTATGAATTCTAATAAAGATGTTTCATGTGATAGCTGTGTATTTTTTATGTATTTCAAGAATAACAGTTCAAAATATACCTATTTGTGTGACTTTTAAGTTTCTTTTACTTATCTTAAATATTCTTAATTTTTCATTTTGTTCTGTGTTTAGAAAGTATAGTGTACAGACAACTGATGCTTAGATTAGCATTAGCTCTGCTCACTAAATAAAAGTTCTTCTCTGGAAACTTCTAAACTGCAATATTTTTTTAGTTCATTATACATTCAATGTTTTCCTTGAAGAAAGAGAGAGAATTACAACACTTCAAAATGATTTGTTATTTAAAGGTGGTAGATACACATTAATCTGTAATGTATCGCAATACTGTTTTACTTACCTAAAGCCTTACATATTGTGAGAAGGTTTTGTTTTTATACATAACTAAACAATGTAAGAACATGCTTCTAAGAAGAACAAAGTGACAGAAAACTTTTTAACCATTCAAGCTTACACCTCCATTAACTGAAATCTAAATAGTTGTACTTATAACTATTCATAATCATATAATTACATTACACAAGTTTAGGTTTAAACTGATATCATACACTGTTTTATGAAGAATACCATTTCAATGGAAAATTAACTTTACACAAGTCTAAATTTAGGCTTACAAAGCTTTTAATTATTACATCTAATATCCCCCCCCCCCCCAGCGACACAGTGGTAGTCTGAAACCAGACTTAAAATGAAACCATGTTTTGATGCCTATGGTGGGTAGAGCACAGATAGCGCTTTGTGTAACTTTGTGTTTTACTACAAACAAACAAATCTAATATCACAGACTCTTGCATTGAAGTTGAGACTACTTTGTACTTGCTAATGGAAATGTTATGTTGGTGTTATAAAATTATAGAATGAATGTGAAGCCCAGTATTTGATTTACCACTTATCACTGGGTTATACCAGTGTTGGGGACTTCCATTCCTCATCAGTAACCTCAGATAGCTGGGTTTCTTTTCTGTGTTTTAGTATTTTAAACAGTTTTTCTTGGTGAATAATTCACAACACAAATTAGTAGCATAAATGCTGCATATTCTTGAAATTTGTATATGCATATGAAATTACTGTGTGAGTAAAAGACATTTTGAAACATTATACATTATAAAAACTAATAAAGTAATCTATGTTAAGCTTAATGTACTTTGTGCTTACTAATAGAAACTTTAGCCTGTAGATTTGTAACGGATATTCAGTATATGGCCCATTCAGTTTTGATGAATATTAGTATTTATTCAATAGATAAATAGTTTAAATTTCTGATACCATATTTTACTTAAACTTACAAAATAGCTTTCCTCAATTTGTACTGCCCTCTCAATGTCCAGATGTTTGCTCACCATCAGCTCTTATGCTCCCACCTACCTCCATGTGATATAGCTGCGTTGAAGCATGCAAATATACATGCAACAACCCTCCACTAATAGGAGTGTGACACACACACACACTCTTAGCACAGCTGACTCCCTCTATGCAATAGAATCCAATCTTCACACTCAATTTGGTATGACAGTGATCAGTTGTGTTGATTGTGTTTAATTTTGGTATTCTATTTTCTTTTGAATTTGTGACTTTGCCTTCATTTTCAAACTTTAAAAAAAGTTTATTTAATTTGATTTTTTTTTTAAATTTCATTTATCATCTTTTTCATGCAGTTTCATAACTGTTTCACATTGATTTAGCTTCATCTATTTTTTGTGGTGGTCTCAGGTAAATTAACATGAATTCACAGTTTCAAGTCATAATTACTACTGCTTCAGACACTGCTGGTGAACAACAACTTCTCGTGATGACTACAGGCTCAATGTTATTGGCTGAGGAGGCTTTGGCCCTTGTTCACTGAGAGATGGCCTCCTTCATGCGAGTCAAGGGGTCTCCCAAACATCAACTACTTCTCAAGAGAGCCAAAACAGGATGATGAACATTTAAACTCCCTTTTTCCTCCCCCTTCCTTTGCTGTGCAGTCTTGTTCTCAGACCATGGCTTTTTTCTACATTTCTGAAGTTAGTATCACAGGTATGTTATGTTTTGTCTTTGTCTTCCATGTCCTATAACCCTTTCCCTTCCCTTTTGACTGATGCACCTAATTCTGAATATTCTGTCCTTCCTCCTTTTCCTGACATCAGGGTCCATTCTGAGTATTTTGACTAGCAATTTTATTTGGGTATCAACATGCCATGTCCCCCACATGTAACTGAGACTTGTGCATTATCATACCATTGTTGGCTGAATCATTTTCTTGATACACAACAATTAAATTCACTCTTCCCTTTTGGGGTTTGGACCCTAATACTTCTGTGCACTTTTCACAGATACAGCTTTCCTGCCATTGCCTGACTTTAACATCTACAATACCTTTCTTCCATACACCTTTTCTCTGAGGCTCTCCATTAATCCCCTGAGGGATTTTTGGCCTATTCCCTCCTCCGGTTCACATTGGCACATTTATTCTCCTCTGCCCTTTCCATCCACACATGGCTCCTTTGTTGTTGGGACTTCTTAGTACAGATGCTCTTGAAACTCATTTTGTCTCCCCTACATCTTTGACAAATAGTCTTCATGACTCATTGGAGTTGTGAGTGGAATCTACCCATTTACAAATTCCCTCTCTTCCCTGGCAACATTTCCCAACTCCTGTCCTGATATCCCTCTTTCCTTGCCTTTAGTTGTTCCTTCCTCCTGGATTGCTCCTTCACGGTGTACCATTGTTCACCACTGACCCATTTCCTTTCAACACCTCCCCTATCACCTTTTCCTGTACTCCCCTCCTCAGGATCCCCTTTCCAGCCAGTATCTTTCCATGATGGTTTAGGACCTTCTCCTCAAAGGCACTATCGAATCAGTACTTCCTACTCTCCCAGGTTTCTATTCCCATCTTTTTTGTAGTTCCCAAGAAGACCAGAAATTAGCTTCCTGTTATTGATCTCTCCAGTTTGAACTGTGATATGGAAGTTCCTTGGTTCACCAAGGAGTCTTTCCTATATCTTCAATGGGCATTTACTCCAGGTTTTCGGGTAACAAAGATTGACACGCCCAATGCTTACCTTCATATTCCCATTTCCCATGCATGTTCTTGTTATATTTGCTTTGTCCACAAGGAATGTGTATATCAGTTCCAGGCTCTCGTGTTTGGGCTGGTCACATTTGTTTTCAGCTTCTTCCATCAACATGTAGTTTCTCCTCAAGGAAGCTGCTTGGGTAGGTTGGCTGGTCAAGGTGAAGAAGTCTATTCTTACACTGACTCAATACCTCATTCATCTTAGGGTATTCAATTCCCATCTCAGTTAGGCCCAGAAGTCTATTCTTACACTGACTCAATACCTCGTTCATCTTAGGGTATTCAATTCCAATCTCAGTTGGGCCCAGAAGTCTATTCTTACGCTGACTCGATACCTCGTTCATCTTAGGGTATTCAATTCCCATCTCAGTTGGGCCCAGCCTTCTCCCCTTTGACTGTGTTCTGTGTTCAATTCTCACTTTTTCTACTTGCATGAGAGGTTCTTTCTCATTTGGGGACTTGGGCTTATTACCTTTGACCATGAGGTCTGTCCAGCGGTTACTTCATGATCAATGGAACCTCACCAAGTATCCCCTGGAGTACCCGGTGACCCTTCCTTCTTTCATACGGGCCGATTTTGCCTGTTGGCTGGACAAGTACAACACAGTGGCTGGTGTCTCTCTTTATCCTCCCCAACCCGAGGTGTATCTTTTTACGGATGCTTCTCTGTTATGCTGGGGGGCATATTGTGATGCCCAAGAGATCTCGGGCCATTTGTGTTTAGTCAAATTGAGTTTCCATTATCAGTCTTCTGGGAATTCTGGCTGTTCATTGGGCAATGGCTCATTTCCTGCCAGCTGTGAGGGGGCAAAATGGTAATTCCAACAACTGATATAACTTAAAACATACTTTAGATACTAAGAAGTTAGAAGTTACAAACTAATACACAGAAGGAAAATTAAGTAATAACTTTATTAAAGTATAATAATAAATAACATTAATATTTGACTCCTTTTAGTAAAGATTACAGAAATTGTTAAACTTAGTTGTAAGAAACATCTGTGGAACTTTAGTGTGTTTTCCAAAGCATATGTTATACAAATGTTATTAAAGTAAATTGAAATAAATTTATCATGGCATATTATGGTTTTCTAAGCAGTTATCTTAATCTTTATTACTCTAATTGAATCTATTCTATTTCAATCTGATATACTAACCATTAGCAACATTTTTTATCCATTTTAAGCTTTTATAAACATAAGGCTTTGTTTTCTATGTAATTCAAATTTATCGATCATTTGTCAGGAAAAACTTTAATAGGCCTAGGTATATTTGTTATACATTCTTGTAAAACTGGCCTTGAATGACCAGGTGGTTAGGGTTGCTTGATTTGCAATCTGAGGGTTCGAATCCCTGTCTCACCAGACATGCTCGCCCTTTTGGCTGTGGAGGCATTATAAGGAGATGGTCAATCCCACTTTTCATTGGTGAAAGAATAGCCCAAGAGTTGGCAGTGGGTGGTGTTGAATAGCTGTCTTCCCTCTTGTCTTTCACTGCAAAATTAGGGATGGCTATCACAGATAGTCCTCATGTAGCTTTGAGCAAACTTCCAAACACACTTGTAAAACTACACCCATCAGTGTGTCTCATTAAGCTTACCATTTATTGAAAGCACACAATAATGTTCACTGTTTCATTAGGTTTTTTCACCCAGATATTCTTGTTCATTTCATAAAGTGATGATTCTGTATTGTGTAGAATCATCTTGTTTCTCTTTACCAGCTTTTAAAATCAGGTGCTCACTATATACACTGGTATTAAGGTCTGTAGGAATCTTAGTGCTAATTGAGATAGTATTGTTATGTCTCTGTTCGTTTGTTAATTTCCCATAAAAATTCTTCCCAAGGAACTTCAGCGATACAAGTCCTTTCTTAAAT